ATTGACATGGTGGCTGCGATGATGGGCTCAAGTATAGCAGGGATTGTGGGGCTGGCGTGGGATCGGGCAGTGTTTTGTTCTGCTGTGCACGGGGTCGCTATGAGTCGGAAACGACTCGATCGCAATTAACAACAACAACAACACACACACACACACACACACACACACATATATGGTTTATATGTATCTGTGGTATTGATTCTGTAGTTTTATCCACAATATTTCCCTAGCACACTACTGGCAAAAAAAGAGGCATTCAACAGCATTGGATGGATGCATGAAGAAGTGAGCTGGATTGTGTATTTCTTTCTTTCTTTTTTTTAAATTTTCTCTTTTGTCACTACTTTTATTCACCTGCTTTAAAACTTTAATATATTTCAGCATACTGTAGATGCATGTTGTTGTTAGGTACCATTGAGTCAGTTCCAACTCTTAGTGATCCCTAGGTACAGCAGACCAAAATACATCCTGGTCCTGCATCATCCTCACAATTTTTACTATGCTTGAGCTGATTGTTGCAGCCACTATGTCAGTCCATCTTGTTTCCTCTTTTTCACTGACGCTGTACTTCACCAAGGATGATGACCTTCTCCAGGGACTGGACCCTCCTGATAATATGTCCAAAGTACATGAGATGAAGTCTTGTCATCCTTGCTTCTAAAGAGGGTTCTGGCTGTACACCTTCCAAGGCAGATTTGTTTATTCTTCTGGCAGTTGATGGTCTATTCACTATTTTTTGGCAGCACCATAATTGAAAGGCATCAATTCTTTGGTTTTCCTTATCCATTGCCCAGCTTTCACATGCATATGAGGTGATTGAAAATACAAGGAATCCGGTCAGGTGCACCTTAGTCTTCAGAGTGACATACATCGTTGTTCTTCAACACTTTAAAGAGGTCTTTTGCAGCAGATTTGTCCAGTGCAGTATGACTTCTGATTTATTGACTGCTGCTTCCATGGGTGTTGACTGTGGATCCAAGTAAAATGAAATCTTTGACAACTTCAGTCTTTTCTCCATTTATCCTGATGTTGCTTATTGGCCCAGTTGTGGGGATTTTTGTTTTCTTTATGTTGAGGTGTATCCATACTGAAGACTAGAGTATTTCATCTTCATCAGTAAGTACTTCAAGTCTTTACTTTCAACAAGCAAGATTGTGTCATCTGCATATTACAACACAACAAATGCAACACACTGCCGTTGAGTCAGATCCAACTCATAGTGATCCCTCCTTGGGTTCCTGAGGTGGTATCTTGAACTGCCAGCCTTCTGCTTAGCAGTCAAATGCCTTAGGCACTATACCACCAATAGTCTTCCTCCAGTCCTCATGCCTCATTCTTTTTCATGTAGTCCAGCTTCTTGGATTGTTTGTTTAGCATACAG